CTCTGTCTCTAGCCCTTCCTCAGTTCAGGTTAGGCCACCTTTAAAGCACAAATCGCCACTCCCCTGTCTGCAGACACCTGGACCCCTGTCTGCATCTTCAGTTCCCACAGTACTGCTTGAGTCCAGTGCACACAGGAGGGCCAGTGGCACCCCAGTACTGCTTGAGGCTGGAGCCTCCTAGATCGTAGAGGGACAGAAAGCTTCTCTGCATCCTGTTAATGAGCAACACTTCTCAAATACCACGTAGACATCTCTCCTAGGCCTGCCCACGTGGAGGTCCTATTGGCTGTAGGCCCTGTACCAATATTGTGGGAGCGGCCTTGTAGGGATGGTCTTGTTCCATGCAGATCCAGGGTGACATTCTACCTGCAGGGTGGCATTCTTCAGGCTTTTAAATATCTACTGATGAAATGAATTCATGGGCCTCTGACTCTCTTATCTTGAACCTCACCTGCCCTGATACGTGTAAAATCACAAGGTCGAAGCTGGGATGGAGGGTCACGTCATTGGCTCACCTTCCAAAGGCAGTTCAGAAGCCAGAAGAAACCTGGTTTGGAGCCATGCACGCTCAACACCCAGCAAACCCTGCTGTCCTCCCTACCAGCACCACACATGTGTTTCTATAGTTACACACCTTACGGGTTTGTTTTGCTGGATACACTGAGTGTCTTCCCTTTAACCTCTTCATCCTCTCTTACCCTGGAGTACTGTGGAGAGTGCTAAAATACAGTGTTCTTAGGGAAGGAAGACAAGAATCATGGAAGGAGGGAGGGAAAGTAAGGTGGGGAGGGAGAGAGGGAAGAAGGAAGAAAGGAAAATAAAAAGAAAATTTCATAGTTTAGAGTCAGGAATTAGGGTCCAGGCTGAAGTGACATTTTTATGGTCACACAATTGGCTACTGATAGAGTGGTGTAGAGATCTGGGAATCACGCTGTCTCATTTGATGCTGTTATATTGTGTGAGGTGAACAACTCACCCCAAACAGGACCCTGATACCAGACCCAACGGCCAATTCCACCCAAGACCCAAACAGCTGCATCACTGAGACATCTGCTCTCCAACCTCCCCTGCGGGTGGTGCTCAGGTCTTCCATGTCCCTGCTCCCAGTCTTAGCCTGAGTCTCTCTGTCTGCCTGTCTCTCTCTGTCTCTCTGTCTCTGTCTCTTTCTCTGTCTCTGTGTGTGTCTCTGTCTCTGTGTCTCTGTCTCTGTGTCTCTGTCTCTGTCTCTCTCTCTCTCTCTCTCTCTCTCTGTGTGTGTGTGTGTGTGTAGGTATACAAGCCTACACATACTCAGAGGCCACAGGGGGGATATTCTATTCTTCCCTTGTTCTCAGGACAGGATCTCTCATTGAACCAGGAGCTAGCCTGCAGCTAACAAGCTCAGTGACCCTTTTGTTTCCACCCTGCCTCCCCGCTGGCTTTGCACATAAGTGTTGTGGATTTAAACTCAGGTCCTCCTGCTTGCCCAGCAAGTGCTCTGACTCTCTTGGACATCTCCTCAGTTGCCTATGTTTCTCTAAATGGGGTCCCAATTGTAGCACCAAATCCTGGGTGGCGCCTCAAGGCAGGACAGGCTGTGAGCTGACGCAGCATCCCCAGGCTCCTCCCATAGCCTGGCAGAGCTTCAGGGAGGTTGGGGATGTTTTGATTATTGACACAGCCAAGCAGCTAATTAAAATAATAAATTAGAGAACAGAGGGATGATGGGAGCCGTGCAAGGAAGGGGCGGGGGAGAAGAAAAGTGTCTCTTTGGCAGCCATGCAGAAACACTGGGCATGTCGGCTTTTCAGGGTTACCCAGGAGGTATGCCAATGGTGGCATCTGAGATCCCTGGCCAGAGCAAATCCAAGGAGGCTTTGGGGGATCAAGTGATGCAGGGCGGGGGTGGGGAGCTCCTGAGTCCTGCCCAGGGAGAATAGAGAGGGGTCTGCTCTGCTTTTCTCAGATGAGGAAATGTGACCCACTCAGGACTGTGACCTGCAGGTAATAATGGCAGTGCTATCGACAAAACAGAAAGGTCTCAAAGGGCATCATGGCCCACACAGGCAAGGTTAGCTTTAGAACCAACGTTTCGTGTGAACAGTCCTTGTTTTCTATGCAGATCGTGATGCCAGAAGCTCTAAATACCCTGCTAGGAATGGAGGAAGCTGCTGAAGAGATGGTGACCACTGTTCACTCCATTGCATTAGCAACAGGGCACCAATATAGACCACCATTGTACTAGAAATCGCACAGTAGCAAGTCTAATTCTTACAGTTCTGGATATATATTGGATATGTGTGTGTGTGTGTGTGTGTGTGTGTGTGTGTATAGGTGAATTGCCTAGCAGCTGGATTGTTGTGGTGTTTGATAAGAATGTCTCCCATAGGCTCATCTGTTTGAATACTTGCTCCTCAGTTGGTGGAACTATTTAGGAAGGACTAGGAGGTGTGGCCTTGTTGGAGGAGGTCTCTCACTGGGAGTGGGCTTTCCAAACCTGTTTCAAAATGGATAGCTATTTCAAAAGCCTATCCATCCATTCTCAGTTAGGTCTCTTTGCCTCATGCTTGAGGTTCAGGATGTAAGCGTTCAGCTGCTGCTCCAGCACCATGCCTGTCTGCCTGCTGCCATGCTACCCACCATGATGGCCACGGAGTCACCCTCTGAAACTGTAAATCCCAAACAAGTCCTGTCTTCTGTAAGTTTCCTTGTTCATGTTGTCTATTCAAAGCAATGGAAACATAACCAAGACAACCGTCAATGACTGAACTTGGAGAGCCAGATCCCCATCTACACAATAGGGGTATTAGTGACACTGAGTGCTGGAGTTGAACGGAAGGTCACAGATGCGTCTACGCAGCCTTTCAGTGCTGGGCATCATGACCACCAGGCTGACATCCTGGGCTTTTTGCTCCATGCTGGCTTTTGGCAGAGCCCTGCAGTGTGGATCTACACTCAAGAGGCACTTTGTATTGGTGTAACAGGGGTAACAGGGATTTTGTGTCTTCCTGAGCTTCTCACCTGGGTGGCTGATCCGTGCTCTGTGTCAGTTTCTGTATTGAAGGTGCAGTGCACAGCAAACTGGAGGATGTGGAAAGACACCCCTCCCTCATTGCCCTGCACTGTTGTTCTTTAGGGAAGGCAGAACTGTGGTGACCCCACAGGAGGCATACAGACACTTCCCTGTCTTATGACCAGGTTCAGGTAAGTCACAACAATTGGACTTTGGGGTGTATCTCCAATAGGAGGGGGGCCTCTCTATGGGGAGGGTTTACTCCCTGAATATTCTCTCTCTGGTAAATTCTGCTCAATTTGAGGGACCTGAGCATGCCCCTGGATCACAGACTTCTCAGTCTAGAACTTCAAGTAACAATCTTCTGGTTAATGCCTTTGTGAACTGTGGTGTGTTGTCCTGGCCACCCTAGGAAGCCCACATATAAGATGTGGGGAATTCATTGTCTGACTTGTCAATCTTTGGAGATTATCTGGAGTTGGCACAGAAGACTTGTATGGCCAGGAAAAAAGTCTTAACAACAACAACAACAAACTTGACCCAGACATGGTGACTCATGCCTGTCATCCCAGCTAAGGTTAAGAGAATTGCCACAAGTCTAGGGACAGTCTGGGCTACAGTATGAGACCTTGTCTCAGAAAACAAACAAAAAACCTTAAAAGAAACCTGAAAACTTAAAAAAAAAATCTGAAAAGGGGAGGAAGAGAAGGAAGGAGGGAGGGAGAGATGGAAGGAGGGAGGGAGAGATGGAAGGAGGGAGGAGGGAGGAATGCATGCTTAGTAAAAGTCCCTGAGTGATTTATCTGAGGGTAAAATCTATGCATGTGGCCTAGTTATCAGTCCTCAGCCCCAGAGCTTAATTATCCAGGATCTGTACCCCTGGGCCTCCCTGTTCCAGAAAACTCTTTCCTGGGAAGATCAGAGCAAGTTGTTTTATTTTTTGTTCACAGAAACTTTACAAAAACATATGTAAGCAAACGCAGTGTCTATCGTTTTAACACATAGTATCTGATGCCGTCGGATTTCTCTCTGCTTTGAAACCTATCCTGAGCTGCTGTCTTGGTCAGGAATGAGCTTGGGACCAGTGTGACCCTTTGGTTCCTCTGTGTTTCAGCTTGTGTGTGTGTGTGTGTGTGTGTGTGTGTGTGTGTGTGTGTGTGTGTGTGTTGTAATGATCCCTTACCTGGTACCTGGAGGCTAGCCCTGTCTCACCAGGATGTTGTTTGGGGACATTCTTGGGCTTGAAGGCTAGGGGTGATTTCTGAACAGTAGCTAGGGAAACAGCCTTAGACATCTGAGCTAAGCTGCCCTGGGACACAGCACCCACAGCTGCCAGGATCCCTGCTGACTGCAAACCTGCCCCCTTAGTCTTTCTCACATCCAGTGAGACCACAATATGGAACATACAATCAACAAACATCAGGTGTGGTGACAAGCTCCTTCCTATAAGCCTAGCAGTTGGAAGAGTGAGACAGGAGGGTCACCAGTTCAAAGCCATCCTGGACTACAGAGCGAGGCATTGTTTTAATAAATGAATTGGAATAAAAGACGACATCTCTACTGGCCATATGGGGATCGATTGTATTTTGTTCCTAATTAGCCAGGTAATCAATCACCTCTGGGAAGCAGAGGCCATACTGCTGTGGGAAACTTGTGTCAGATGCCAAAGAGACCAACCCTGTCTCAGTGCAGCCCTGAGACCATGGCAACGCCGGTGGGTCTCAGTGGGGAGGGGGCATCATTTCGGTAGTCAGGATAACTGGGGATGGTGAGAAGATAGATGAGGCTGCACACAGTTCAGTCTAGATGTGGTGTCCTGGACTCCATGAGAGCTGCAGCCTGGATTCCTCCCTCCTTCACAGCCAGCACAGGGCTGGCTCTGAGCAGCAGGGCATGATAGGCCCCTGCATGGTCATCAGCTTGGGAAAAGTCAACCTTAGCAGTGACTCAAGAGTGAATACGGCCAAACTGTAGGTGTGGAGAGGGGTGTGCCATAGCCTGCACTCACCCAGAAGAAGAAGTTGAAGATGAAGAGCAAGTACTTCAGGTGGGCCAGCAGCCAGTCATCCTGCTCTGTCTTACAGTGTGCCATGGCGTCTGGGCCTGTGGAGGACATGACCATGCTGAGAAGGGGACACCACAGGGATCCTTGGTGTCCTTCCCACCCCAGCACCTGAAAGGCTTAACCAGTCAGTGTTCCCCAGTGGGTTCGAGGCTGAGGCTCTCAATGTATATGTGTAACTTGGACCCTAGATGAAGAAGTACGATCTAAGGAAGGGCGATCTTGGCAGAATTTCCTAGACTTCTGGATCTCAGTTTTATTATTATGACACAAGGCTAACCCACAGGTATCTAGAGTCCTTTTTCTCTCCCCCATCGCAGGACATGTTTCTTGTCCACGCACATGCACGCATGCTCACACTTGCTCATGCATCCTCACACTTTTGGCAAAGCCACAGATCTGAGCAGGACCTCTGCCTGTGTCACTGTGCACAAGCATCTGTCTGGAAGGGACCTTGATCTCCCAGGGCCACCTCACTTGTCCCCAACTCCCAGCTGCCAGAGGAGAAAGCGGGTCTACCTTGCTAGTGGCTCTGCCAGAAGTTGGGAGATTGCACGCTGACGGCTTGCACCAAGTCCACACTGTGCGCTGTGGGTGAGTCAACGCCCTCCCACCCAGCATCCTCACCTGTAAGCACACAGATGCTACCTCTGCTATGGGATGCCCAGAAAGATCTGTGGGATCCTCTGGGTTCAAGGTCTAACTAGGTTTAGGCACATAGTACGTGCTCGGTAAATGGTAAATGAGTACCTCGGTTTATTCCCCTGAAGCCCCACCTCTGACTCAGCACCACCTTGTCTTGCTCTGACCCCCTGATGGATGGCCCGAGAGCTGAGAAATCAGTGGGGCTCCAGAAGGCCCGCTGGGCATTGACCCTCTTTGCTTCTCAGTAAGTACACACCACAGCAGGTAGTCTCCACTCCTAGGCTGTGGCAAGTTACTTAACCTCTCTGTGCAGGACCACAAAGCAAGGAGGCTTCGCAGTACTCCCTGGCTGGAAGACAGGAAATGTGCACACTCTGTTCTCTTGGAGCAGATTCTTTGTATTTTAGCCAGGGACTTTGCCCCCTGGGGTGTGTTGCTGTATCCCACCCTCCTCCCTTTCTGTGAGGTCTGGTTAGGGTGGCAGGCAAACAATATGAGAGCAGAGGATGACAGAGCAGTTTGACTTTCTTGGAACCTGATTTGTAGACCAGACTGGTCTTGAACTCACAGAGATTTGCCTGCCTGAGTGCTGGGATTAAAGGCTTGTGCCATCACATCCGGCTTCAGGTCAGTTTCTTGAAGGCATTGGTTTTGTGGGGAGAGGGATTTCCTTGTACTTGGAAAGAATGTGGATCTATTTTTAGAGGTCAGTGAGGTCAACTTGTTCCTGATTCTGTGCTAGCTTTTTCACTGGGTATTGGAGGTTTCCGCAGACTCCTGCATTGATACGAAATTTGTCAAGCTCCTCTGTAACTCTACGAATTTCCAGGTCATATATTTCTTAGCTATGTTACGTAGTACATATAGATTTGGAGCTGTGACATCATTCTGATAGATCAGTCCCTCTGCCATTAATACGCACCATTCTTTATCTCTGACAAAGCCAGACACATCCTTAAAGTGAGAAAGGCTGCTTTCTTCTGGTTGCCTGGCATGCTGATGTTACAGCCGAACTTGAAGCCGCCACTTTGTTTCCCAAACAAACGAGCAATGTAACATGTTCAAAGAATTTGGGGCTCTGATCATTTTGGAGCTGCTACACTGTCCCTAAGCTAGTCACCTCCAGCAAACTTCGAGTTTCTTTACGCCACATGTGTAAATATGTAATAAAGCACAGCTACTTTGGCTCTGCTCTGATAGGGAAAATAGTGAAGACCAAGGCATGCACCAGCATATGCCAGTGTTATACCCAGATTGGGGGATCCCCTAAGAAACCATGAGGGTCCACAACTCCGATGCAAGCTCACAAGAGTCTTTATTCACGCTCGAGCTTGGGCCATAAAATCCTCTGACACAGCAGGATAGGAGAATGGCCCTGAGATCTAGGGGAATGCGGCTAATAAAGGGAAAACCACAAGCGAGGATTTCCAAGATTTGGCGTTACATGATTGGGTAAGAGGGTTGGCCTTTAGGCTGATTGGTTCACAGCATCTGGTCAAACCACAAGAAGGCACCACACATCTAAAGGGGGCATCTTGACCTGGGAACAACTTACGTATTCTTGGCCCACCCTGTTATTATTGACTGGCCACAACTGCTATGTCTATTTTGCAACTGCCAAGAACATTTTGTGGGTTTTCTCAGAACTCAAGGGAGAGGGCTACATTACTCTGAGGACAAGTTAACTTAAATGAAGTCTGGAAAACAAAATGGAGTTTATTCTGCTACTTTAATCCCATCATTCCTCACTTACTAGTTGCTTTGGAAGCCAATCTTGGGCTCCCAGAGGTTTGGATTTTTTCATGGTAATTTGTTGATAGTGAGACCTCATTACCATTAATTGAATAGTTCTCAGTCTCTGTTTTATATATTGTAAAAGCTTTAGAAGACATGGTCCGAAGGTAAGGAGAAGTAAAAGAATGACTAAGGGTCCTATGAGGGTGGAAATAAGAGTTGTTAACCAAGGGGAAGCATCAAATAATGAATGGTACCAACTTCTGGATTCTTCTGATTCTCTTTGGCGCCTCTCTAGGCTTCCCTGACCTTAGCCAATGACTCACAAATAACTCCAAAATGGTTGCCGTAGAAGCAGCACTCCTCATGGAAGGTAGCATGTAACCCTCCATGTTGCAGGAGCACTAAGTCTAATCCTGTCCTCTTCTGTAACACCATTTCAGCTAGAGAATTTACATTGTGCTCCAGATGGGAAATGGACCTATCTAGGCACTGGATATCTTCATCTATGTCTGCCTTTAAACTGTTATAGTTCTTTCCCTGTAATGCCCGTACAGCCATTCTGGTGCCAGCCCCGGCTAGTCCTGCCCCTAGAATCCATGCTAAGATCAAAGAGCTAGGTTCTCTTTTGTCTGATAATGCCTCCCTCAGTTTGTCTTATTAAGGCTTTCTGCACTGTTTCCTCTGAATAATAGGTTACTCAGGGCACTAATTGAACCAAGATACAGAACTCATCCAGGGTAGAAGAATTAAGAACCGCACCATTCACACAAGAGGTCAGTCCTGTTGAACAGGCCCACCATACTTGTTCTGGGAGGATGATCCATTTGGAATGCGCTAGGGGAATGGTCTGATTACAGAGGTGTTGCTATGGTGACGGGACTTTTCCTAGGCAGATACCCTGTCCTGATATAGTTTGGAGGGTTAAAGCTGGATATTCTTGAGACCACCAACATGCAGAACTCCTCTCAGAAATGTACTCTGCTATTAACCCTATGCCTTCATAAAAGGGGGTTCTAACATTATAACATAACCAATAGGAGGTGGTAAATTTGGGCTGGGAACCATTCAGCATCTGGAAGGTATTTACCATCATTGACCAGAGGTGATCTGCTGATTCTGGTTGTTCAGGAGAGAGCTCTGGAACGGAGGTTCCCTGTGATTAGATATCTAGTGGTGAGGTAGTTGTCGGTCTAGAAGGTGCTGGGACCAAGGCTAATTTAGGGGGCACTAGAATCTGATTTGGGCCTACTGCTGCTACTGACTTGCCTTCGGTCAGTCTTATTAGAAGTATGACTGTAAAGAGTGAACCTGAGCAAAACTATGGAGCTGTCCCCTTGTCAGAAAACTATGATAAGATCTTCTTTTGACATCCCCTGTCCCCCACTTCTGGTGATGTATGTTTCGTCATCCCCAGGCGGCACAGTAGAACTGTTCAGGCCCCCCACACTTAGTAGGTTTTGTCCACCCTGGACATATATAAAAAGTCTGCCATCGGTATTTAGGATATGAATCTTGAGGAATCTGGTGTGGTGCCATGAGTTGTCAGCTAGCTGGCACAAATCAAAAATCAAGTCCGGGAACCAAGACATTTTGATTGGCACTTTTGTACAGGCCAGATGGGTGCAATAACCAGTCTCAGGATTTTCAATCACCCAGATTCAATCAAAAGGTTGGTGTGGGTTAGGGGCTGCAATACAGATAGTTAGGATGGTCAGTAGACTCAGGACCACGTCAATTTTAACTTGAGGGGGTTGGTGCCCTATTGAACCTTCCAATCCGTTGTGGCTTGAGCTAGGTAGTCTTCTGTAGTGGAGAAAGGGTTAGTGAGTCTGGCCTGAGTATAGTACATCCAGGCGGTGATTCTGTCCACTTTGATGGCAGTTGGCATGATCAACAGGATAATGTGAGGTTCCTTCCACTTGGGTTCAAGCATGCCTTGGCGAACTCTCCACACATAGGCCCAGTCTCTTGGTCAAAACTTGTGCAGTTCCAGAACTGGGCCTGCTTCATAAAGGGCCCTTAATTTAAGCCATGCATATTTATGAGCTCATTGGGTTACTCTGACCCTAAATATTAAATCATCCTCCTCCAGTTCTACAATGGCTGCTGACTGCAGGTTGGGTACAATGGAGACTGGGATACCATACATGATCTCAAAAGGGGTTTCCCTTCTGGTAAGAGGGCAAAGGGAAAGCACATCATCCATTCCCTGTCAGTCTCTAACATCAATTTAGTTAATGTCTCTTTTAATGTTCTATTCATTCTTTCTACCTGCCCTGAACTTTGAGGTCGGTATACACAGTGCAGTGTCCAATCTATCTCAATAAACTTTGCTACAGCCTAACTTACCTTGGACACAAATGCCAGTCCATTTGATCTAACCCTATCATATGACGAAATCCATATCTGGGTAAGATATCTTCTAATAATTTCTTGACCACTACCTTTGCTGTCTCAGTCTTAGATGGGAATTCCTCTGTCTATCTGGAGAAAGTGTCCACAAATACCAGCAGATACTTGTAGCTGTACCTTTCCAGCTTGATCTTTGTGAAATCAATTTCCCAATAGGTCCCCAGTCTCTTACCTTGCAGTTGGGAGCCTGGATGAGATTGCTAGGAGTATTGGTCAGAAGGCAAGCTTTACAGCTT